GAGAATCACATCCACATAACTATCCAGACCTGTTTTCATAAGTTTGTAGCTTTAATGTTTGGCGTATGTAAACACATGGGTTCTTCTACTGCAATAATTTGAAAAACCTGGAAAACTTGCACCCTTAAACAGTTTTCATTTGGTGAAAGTATATATTTTTGTCTGAGAAATATTTGTCACTCACATGTTGTCTTGACAAGAAACTCAATTCAAAAATATACAGTTAAATATATACAGGTTTCACATAATTAATCTGCTCCTTTAACCAATGAGAAATCACATGGTGGGTTCCATTTTACTGGAATGCCTGGAATCCCGCCTATGTGAGGAAGACAATGGCTGACTTTGAGTAGCTAATCACACCCAATGGCTCAACAGAAGTGCTGGCAGTTATAATGTAACCAAATACCCCTGTTTCAATAAGTTATTCATTGATAGACCAGAGTTTGTGGACTGTTATTTTAGTTCTCAATGTCTTCAGTTTTTGCCCCCCAGCGTTATGCTGGTACATTATAAGTTTGTGTTTAACACAGGATGCAACATACTACTGCATACACAAAGCAATTGTTGACTTATATAGAGATTGCACACACTGATGAGGTGGTAAAACGTGGGCTTTAGATGATGCCCTGCATAGCTCTGGATGTTTTCTGCAGCACTTGCTTCATACAATAGAGCACATATGCGTCTCTTTAAACATCAGTAACTCAGTTAATCAGCAGATTAGACTCAGCATCTTTGAGCCGTCATGCAAACATGCTCTGTGGCGCTTTGATATGATTTGAGAAATGTTCCCGTCAGAGTGATAAGCTGTTTTTGAGCTAATGTTAGCTCTCCTGCGTACTGGAACTGTGTTCTAGGAAAACGGGAAGACAGGAAGCAGAGTGGAATGTGCTAGAACCTGCTCCTACCAGCAGGCACACCTGTTTGTCACACACAAACAATATCTTTCTCTTTTCACATGTGAGAAGACTCTCAATACCTGTGCCGATACCTGATAGCTGTGTCACATACAAAACTGCTTCATATTTCTATTTACCAAAGTGTGACACTATATCAAGGAGTTGAGAGTGGTTTGTTAAATGGTCTCTTGGGAAATATTAATAGTCCAACATATATTTGAAAGGTGAGCCAAGATGGAAGCATCAAAACAGCATCAAGTCTAATAGGACTAAGCATTTTCTGAAAAAGCTTAGATGCTTGAATGAATTGCTTGCCATTCTGGCTGTAAAAAATACTATTAATACAAAAAGGTATTAGTACAGTACTTCAGTATGTACTTTTTTGTGTTCATAGTGTTAATTTTAGTTTTAGTAATTTTGGTACTTCAGCTTATTTTAGTTTAGTTTGGCAAGCTAACATTTCAGCAATTTCAACAAATTTTATTTTATTTTATTTTATGTCAATTAACGGAAACAATTTTAATGGTTTTAGTTTTAATCCATTCGTTGTTTTCTTGGCTGATGCTTCTATGGGGAAAATGCTATTTAGGTCAATTACGTCAACACAGTCTTTAGCTCAAATATGGACATCTTTCACTTTTCATCACTTCCAAAATGTCACACAATGTAGTCTAAATAACTGCTATTTAATTTACATGGTCCCCAAAAAGTAAACTCTTGACCGAGTGGCATTGTACTATATGAAAATGATGCTAGACAATTTCTCTAACAAACGTATAACTTTTTTCCTGAGCCATTGTTTAATCCACTTTTACCCAACTGTCCCATGGTTATTTTAGTTGGATGTATTAAGTCAATTCTCCTCAAGTTCACACAGGTGTCTGAGCAGAATAACCACATGAACATATCCCACAAATATATGACTGCTATTCAAACATATGAATTTGAATAGCAATAAATTGTAATTTAATGTGTTTTTCTCTGTGACTGGAATGAGTTAACCAGAACATGAAAAAGTAATTTTCCTCTTTACTCTGAAGAGTAAATTATATATATATATATATATATAGTTTAATTTTTGTGATTTTTTTTTATTGTAATGTGCTCTCTGTCTTTAATACAATGTTATAATACATAATACATGACATGATAGAATTTGGGTTTGAGGCTAGATTGGAGTTATTGTGTCATTTACAATTAGACACCACTATGTTCTAGTTACACTGTGTTGGAAATAACCAAGAGCTAAATATTAAATTTCACTGAGACAGGCACTTTTTAGAGGAGCTGTTTTTGTCCCTAAGTTTCTCTATTCACAGATATGATTTGAGAGAGATGAGGAAGCACAAGCAAAGGTGCAGAATGAAACGATTTTTTCAGTCGTGTTCAAATTGCGTCACACCCACCCAGCAAGTCAGTCAGTATCGGTGGGATCGAAACCAGCATGTTATTTTAATATACGTGGTTACAGTTACATTAATAATACAAAAAAGAATAGAAAAATCATGGCGACAGTTTTGACTTATTGTTTAGTTGTGTTGTCCTTTGACTTTGTAAAAGGTATAGACACAAAGGTACACACATAGAGGCTATGCGATCAAAACCCCTTTTAAATCATTTGGGATATTTAAAATTCGCAACTTTGTCAATACATAATACACAAAAAAAATTGACACTGATCGGTTCTACTGGGATCAACGCAGGTCAAAGTCATACTGACTTTATTATTTTTATAGATTAGAGACGCCAACCTGGATCAGCGCATCTTCTGTAATCCAGCCTGCAGCTTCAGACACAAAGCAACAGGTGTTTCTTTGTTTCGCTCAGCAGAACTCCAGCGTAACTGTGAAACCATGCGATTATGGATTATAACAACTGAAAGGCTGGACACAAACCCGCAGCCATGAACAGCAACAAACACAAAAAGCCCAATGCAAATATACACCGCTGGGTAAACAAAGACATTCCTTCTGCTTACCTGTTTCCCGAAACCTTCAGCAATGACCTTCACTAGGCACAAAATAAAGAAGCTCTTTTTAGGTTTAGTGTCAATTAAAAACTCCTCGTTGAGACCGAGGATGAACAATCCATGCAAAACTGTCAGTGCGTTTTTTCCGAAACAACCTGTTGCCTTTGCGTCGTTGATCCGCCCCTCCTGAGCGCTCATTGGCTGAAGAGTTGTCCCAAGGCCGGCCGATTGGAACACGTGATTGGCCGAGATTCACTGTCAATCAAATACAAATAATTCAGGGCCCGTCCATTAACCAATTTAAGAAACTTGATGCCACTGTTTATTCCCGTTAAAATTGCATTTTGTTTTAAAACAACAAACTACCAATAATAAAAAAGTTGTGAAAATAAACTAAAAATAGTTAACGTGTATCATGAGGTCATAACAATTGGTTTAAGCCAGATAACATAAGTTTTATTTTTAACGTTCTTTCTTATAAAGTTTTAGTTAGCAGATTTGTCAGTTTATATTTAGAATATAATTCAGTGTCAAAATGGAAATGTTTTTTTTTTTACCTTTAGTAAAAACATAATAGAACTGCAACACTAGAACAATTTTCTGTTTTAATCATTTGCAAAATTATGGATCCATGAATGATTTATACATTTGTTCCGCTCATGTTTCATGAATATGGCCATTCATAGCTTACTTTAGCATTTCTAACTAGTTTAAACACCCAAAATTTGCATTTTCGAAGCACGAGTTTCCTTGGATATTTACAGCAGCTTTTTGAATAGGTTTTATTTTTTTAAGTAAAATAAGGTCTGTGGTTAATATTACTTGAAGGGACTTTTGTGTTTTGTTTTTTTAACAAAATTACAGTTGGCAAAAGCTGCTAAAAAGGGCTAAAACTACCACAAGAATTCAAACTGATGTGCTTTATAAACTGCAGCAGTTCTTGCATAGCAACTTGTAGCAAGCCTTTTAAAAACACAGAAGCTTCAAAATGCAAGACTGAGATAATTTAAGTTGTTGCGACAAAACATGCACCCTCAAAATAATGTTAACCACAGACTTTATTTTACTAAATTCTGAAAACCCATAGGAAATCCCAGGGAAACCATGGTGAATTCGTCTTCTGGGTTGCCCTACAAATTTATGAAACTGCTATAGATATCACAAATATAGTCATGAAATCACAATTGATAAAAGTGTTTTGTTTAAAACATCTTAAAAACAGTTGACTGTCAGCTAACTGACAGGAGCACAAAAATGCTGTTTTTTCTTTTAAATATGTATTTTAAGAAACTTTTTTTAATATTATTTTAAAGACTGCTGAGCTGAAAATAAACATGTTAAAATATCTTTAATTACATGCCTTAGGTTTAGTTTTTTTTTTTACCTATATTTAATACAATAATAAAAGGTCACAAAAAAGACTTGTAAAATAACAATTCAATTTACTTCTGTACTCTGTACTGAAGAGTACCCCCCCCCCCCCCTTTTCAT